CTGAGCCTGGTGCTGCCCTCCTGGGTGTGTGGACACGGTTGGGCACACCCTGACCCCCAGGGGCTCATCACACGTCAGCCCTGGCGGCTCCCCCATCCCAGGGATTTTGTTCAACCCAGGTGCACTTTTTATTGGATTTTGTTAAATTAAACATGTGATCCTATATTATCTGACCCAACTCTGAAGTCTCCCAGGCCCAGGCAAACTCTGCTGCCTCAGCTTTTCATTTCCATGTTTATTTACTGCCTTTCAGATCGCCTGGGCTGCACGGCGCAGCCTCTGATGAATAAATAACCGGTGCCCTTCCAGGCCAGATTGATTAGATGGATTTAATTAACAAGCCCAGCTCCCCTTGAGGACTATCCCAACTAAAATACTGGAACCAGCCAGTGTGTTACAGCGCCAGGACCTATTGATTTACGGGAATATGAACAAGGGATCATTTAGTGACTTCATCGATGCCATAACAAGAGGTTGAGAGGGGTTGGGTCACAGCTGGTTCATCACAGGGAGATCATTCCCTCCCACTGCTCAGCCAAGCAGTGCCTGCAAACATCCATCATCCATCCATCCATCCATCCATCCATCCATCCATCCATCCATCCATCCATCATCCATCCATCCATCCTCCCCAGGCTGGCTGGACCCATGTGGCTGGGGGAACAGGGAACCAGAGCAGCCAACTCGATCTCAGTGGGACTGGAAACCACAGGGAAAAGACAAAATCCTCAGGAGATCACAGTGGGGGTTTCTCCACACAAAGGTCAAACCTGGAGCTTTGCTGGGAAGGGGAAGCAGGGCAAGAAGACCAAACCCACCCTGGGCTGGGGTGGAGGGAGCTGTGCTGTGCTGAGGGGAGCTGCCAGGACCAGCTGAGCGCCCATGTGCCCAGGCCCATCTCTCTAAAGGGGACAGATGTGTGACAGGGCGCTCAGCCTCACTGTCCCCTCCCTGGCTTCATGGCATGGCAGGGCAGCTCCCACACAGCCCTCACCCGCAGCACCCCATGGAAGGTGCTGTGTGGGTTTGTTAATCAGCCCGTTAAATTATCACAGAAGGAATTGTGACCGGCGTGTTCCCCCTGTGGGGCCCTCCCCGGCAGCTGCAGCACCGGCAGGAGCCGTGACACAGGATCGGGAGCCTGAGGATAATGAGCCGCCAGTGCCGAGCGGGCCATCCCACCTGCCCTGTCCCTGTCCCTGTGCCACCTGCCCCGTCCCTGTTCCTGTCCCTATCCCTGTCCCTGTCCCCATGCCACCTGCCCCATCCCTGTTCCTGTCCCTATCCCTGTCCCTGTCCCCGTGCCACCTGCCCCGTCCCTGTGCCGCCTGCCGTGTCCCTGTCCCTGTCCCTGTCCTGCCTGCCCCATCGCCATCCCTATGCCACCTGCCTGTCCCTGTCCCCATGGCACCTGCCCTGTCTCTGTCCCTGTGTCTCCTGCCCCCTCCCCACCCCGGCCTGTCGCGGCCGGCTGCCAGGCTTGTCACGGTGACAATCGTCAGGTTTTAATTAGTCTCCAACACGATTCCTGTCACAAACACTCTGCTGGGGGTTGTTTGTTTTAATTTGATCAGGGACAGGCACAGAGAGGGGGAAGAAGGAAGGTAATTAAATTTGACTAAAAATCTTGGAATGCCATTAAAGCGGATGTCCTCATCTGCATAATCCGCTCCCCACGGCGCCCTAAGCTGCCACCAGTTTAGTGTCACTCTCCCGAGGTGTTCCACAGCAGCCTGGTGTGGGTGACTGAGTCCCAGCCAAGGGACAGGGGAACACGGGGGTGCCATGTCCTGCTGGGTCAGGACACCAGGGACACAGTGACAAGGCAAATGGAGCCAGCTGTGCCTCCAGATCCCAGCCTCGGGAATGCCAAAGCTCCTGGAGCTGTGGCTTCGGGCCCTGCACAAGGCCAGCCAAGCAGGAGGTGGTGGAGGGTCAGAGCGGGTGTCTCTCCTCATTCTGTAGCCTTAAACAGCAATTTTTGCCCTTTGGTACTTCTCTTTTCCTACTTGTGTTTTCTTGTTTAACATGGAGAAAATACTGTTCCCTGCCTGGCTGTCCACAGAGCAATTACCTGTAATTATTTCTGCTCATTGGCAAGTTGTTACTAATGATGTTTGCTGAAGGTTTGATTATTATTGCAAATGCTGTTTCTACATCTGGGGTTGGGGCTGGAATGCTGGGGAAGTTTCTGGGACAAGCAGGTTTTCCAGGGAGGGGTTGTGCTTCATGGAGATATCTCAGTTGGAACCAGAGATTGTGATGCTCGCTTTGGGGTGGGTTTTGTTTGGTAGGGGGTGTTTTTGTTATATTGATAAAATAACAAGTGTGATAAACTCCCACTGGGTGACAAACGGGTTTGATGAGACACAAAAAAAATCCTTTTTTTTTTGGGATTTGGGATAATTTGGGAAGAAACATGAAATGCCACCAGCTCCTGGCTGGGCTGCAGAGGCAGCAGCACCTTTGGGAGAGCACCCACGGTGGAACTGCCTTTTCCAGAGGCACTGAGGGAACAGCGAGAGCAGGGCAGGGCCAGGGCAGCTCGCCTGCCAGCTGTCCCACAGCACACACAGCTTCAGCAGGTGATGTGAAGTGTTCCTGCCCTAAAAAGCCTCTCATGCTGAAATCAGAGTGCCTGCTTGTGTGACTGCCAGGCCAGGCAGGTGGAGTGGTCTTCATCCAGAGAGGGGGGAAAAGCTCCAGGGAAGCCAGGCCTGAGTGAGAACTGAGGGATCATCCCAGTGGCAAACAAATCAAAAGGAAAAGCTGGCTTGGTTTGTTCACACACCACATTACCCCGGTGGGAAGGGGCCTGCACGGCCGTGCCTGGGACATGACTGCAGAACTCTGCCATGGAGGTCACACCTTCGAAATCTTGGGATATAAGTCTCTGCCATGAGGTTGCACAAGCCTTCCCGAGCCCCTGGGGTTCTGTAATATTTGCTGGGCTGCACAGCCCAGAGGCTGAACCCGTGTGGGGAGGTGTCCAACAGCCCTACATTACCCCAGGCTTGGGAGGAGATGCAATCCCAGGAGCTGGACAAGGACTGCTGCCAAAGGGTGGGAAATTCTTGGACCACTAACAAAGCTCATGTTGAGAAATACAACCAGAGTGTAAAGATGCTGTGACAGCAGGGGGTGGGTGATTGCACTGGGCATCACTTGTTTCTCCTGCATTTTTATTTCTCTCTCTTCATTAGCATTATAATCATATTTTGTATTAATTGCTAAGCTGTTCTTATCTCAACCCACAAAGTTTCCCTTTTCTTTCCCATTCTCAGGCACACATGGGGGGTGGTGGGAGTGAGTGGCTGTGGTGCTGAGCTACTGCCTGGGGTTGAAAGCCCAATCTGAGTGTGGGAAGAGAAACCAGCTCACTCCATCCCCTGAGAAAGTTACTCCAGCCTACTGGAAACCCCCAGCATGAAGATACTGCTTAAATCCCCTGGGAGAAGAGGGTCTCTCCTGGCTGGGGCTGATGTAGGGCAAGGGGAACATTCTGCACATGAAGAAGTTGCAGAGTGGCAGTGGGCCTGTCCTGGCACAGGTGTGGTACAGAGTGAGGTGCATTTGTGAAGGTGCACACGGGCTGGGGGCAGGCAGACTCCACCAGCCAGGTGCTACCTGTGCACTGAGAGCTGTGGTTGAGCAATGCCTTTAAAGATCCTTCTGCCAGGGCTGAGGCAACAGCCCAAGGATCCCAGGGATGGGGAAATGGTCAGGCTGGGCAAGCATCACTCCTGTGCCAGGGATGGGCCTCACAGCCAGCTGGGATGGCTGCAGCTTCTCTTTGGAAGCAGAGACTCATTAATTTTCCCCAGATACACATTTTCAAGTACCTGTAATGAAAGACAACTGTGCATGTTCCTCCCTGTAATTGGGCTGTTTGCACTCTAAATACAGTACAGCTTCTACCTGACTGGCTAATAAGGAATGATTTTCTCTCCTTTTATCTCTAATTAAGCCAAACTGAGCCTGGCATTGCTGCTCTGCAATCATCTCCCAGTGCAGGGGTTTGCTAAGTTACAGGGATTGGCTTTTATAAGGTTTTAAAAGATTAATCTGTAACAATGTGCAGGGAAAAAACATAAATCTGTTAATGAAACTTGGAGGATTTCAATAAGAAATTGATTTTAAATGTTAGTGTCTGCAAAGCAGGGGTTGGAGGAAAACACTCTTGGACTGATCAGCTGATGGTGCTGAGCAGAGGTGGATTTGGGAGCACGGCTGGGATGGCTCCAGCCAACTTTGCAGAGGCTTTGGGGTGTTATTTACTGTCTGCACCCAGCACAGAATCATGCAGAGGGCTGGGGAACCTCTTCCTTCAATCCGCTGGGGACTTGGGACCTGGGGATAGGGACGATGTGGGGCAGGACAGGGTTCTGTGGGAGTGGGGACCCTGAGAGCTCACACACCCCTCCATCAGCAGAGTGCTACCACCCTGCTGGGGCCCTGGAAGATGAGCTGCCAGCTTGGCCTCCATCCCAGTGCTGGAGCCTTAGCCATGGGTGAATGTAGGATGAGCCAGGGCTGCCCCAGTGTGCTAAAAGCCAGAGCAGTCCTGCTGCTGCCAATCCCACACTTTGACCAAGCTAAGAGAGGGATTTTTTATTCTCCAGGCTTTAATCTTGCAGCCCTCATCACCATCATCTTCATCTACCCCAGCATGTTCCACCCCATTCCCATCACTACTTCCAAAACAGCAGCGAGAGGTGTCTGCTCCAGGGAATTCAACAGCACAATGTGGTTCCTCTTCATCGGCATCACCAAAGCTGGACGCTCATCTTCCTCCTCAAGGTGCTCTCCCTGCTGCAGGTGGCAATGCCAGGAGAGCCCCAAACCCTGGCAAGGCCCTGGAGCAGAGCTGGATGTGGGAAATGCTGGGTTTGAGTCTCCTCACCCATGCAGGGGCTGCCCCAAGGCCACACATTGCTCAGCACTGGGCTGCTCTAGTGCTGGAGAAGCCCTGGGCACAGGTTTCCTCATCAGCCAACAGATCTTGTTAGTACTTTATTAATTGCACAGATGGGAAGAGCAGCCCCAATCCAAGTCAAACAACTGCTGCAGTTTCATATGATACAAAACAAAAGTCCCTTAAATACAAAATACCCGGCTCTAAGTGAGCATCACCTGGTGCTGAGCTCTGCCACCAGAGTTATATATTAATATTCCACCTGTACAAGTATTTATAGATAGAAAAAAAGAAACACTTTAAAAAAAATATCAGGAGAAATTTCACTCCCCCACATGTTAGTTATATTTTTATATATATATATATAAGATACATATATATATAAAAACACAGACTAGAGGCTGATTTGTGCTTTTTTTTTTTTACCAAAAGACAGACAGACAGTCATGGCCAAACTGACACTGGGGGTCCCCAACTCATGGGTCGTGTTGCCTTCCAGTTGGAACGACGTCTGGGAATTTGGGTCCCTGCCTCAATGGAGAAACCAGGTCATCTTCTGGGTGCTGACAGCTCTGGTGAACAGTTCCTTCACAAAGGGAAGGAAGGGTGGAAAGGGGAACGGATGTCTCTGCAGGGAGCAGGTGGACATGAGCCACGTGTAGCTGCCCAAAGAGGGGTGAATCCCTAACAGCTGCCCCTCCTGTCATCCCTGCTCCCTCTGGGTACAGCCCTCAACACTGAGGGCGGCACAAAGGGGGAGCTGGTCTGGGGAGTCTCTCCCCACCTCGATGCCTCTTTCAGGCATTGTCCCTTCCCACTCGGGCACAGCTGCCCCGGGGCTCCAGCAATGTCCTGCCCCACACAAATAACGGGTCAGCTGGTTCAGGGATGGCCTTGGAACATGGTCCATCCACCCCTCCTCCCAGTGACAGCCAGTGCAGAGAGAGGGCTTTTAGCCAAGAAAGAGCAAGGCACAGGAGTACAGGGCTGCTTCTTCCATGAATTCAGCACCAATGCTGCAACAGGTTCCATCTGCCCCTTGACAGGTTGGCACTTGAGCTGTACCTATGTATCTACGTGCAGCCCCCTCCTCCCAGAACAGCAGCCTCTTCCACTAGCACAGTGACTCCCTGGCTGTCCCCACTGGGTGACACCACACACACAATCCCCCCCTCGCTGCCCTCCCTCCACTTCCCGACCCCACGCTGCGACCTGCGGACACGGCCCCGTTTTCCCCGCTCGCTCCTCCAGCCTCACTCCACGCTCCTTCCCCCCTGCTGTTGCTCCTGGCTTGTGTGGGGGGCTCCAGCTCCTGCCACAGGCTGCATTAGGGGTCACCCCATGGCCACTCTTTCCCTCCGCTCCCCCGCCTCTCCTGTGGGACACCACAGCTTCCCCTCTGTGGCCACCCTGCCCCACAGCACCCGGGCCATGGCACAGGACTGCCCAGCCCGGGGTGAAAGGACATTTATAAATATGTGCCTCTGTCTCCTCTCCACGGGCACTGCACCACACCGTGCTTCCTTCTGAGAGCCCCAGTCTGGATCCACTGGCAAGTCCAAGTCTGAAAGGACAGAGCATCTTCCTGGTGCCTCAAATCTTTGTCTCGGGGCCGTTGGGACTCAGGGCTGGGAAAGAGTCTCGGATCCTCACCAGCTCCATGGCACAGAGGTGGCCAAAGACCCTGTTATACCACTCGGGAGACCGGCCCCTGGAGAAGGGAAGAGTGAAGAGGGGTTTGTGGGCAGGAGAGACACTGACAATATCACGGAGCAGCACATCCTGCTGCAACATCCCCTCCCCATCAAAGGGTCCCGTTACCTGAGGTCAGCCCTGCAGATGTGGGTCACCCTGGAGCGGCCCATGGTGCTGGGCTCGATGAGGTACTGGGACGTCAGCACGATGGCCTTGACACCTCCCTCCACCGGCACCTTGTCGTGCTCCACCGAGAGCGAGCTGAGCAGGCAGGCTCCCCGCGGCAGGTCCGTGCGCCAGCGCCTGCGACCGAGCACGAGTCACCACAGGGCCCACAGCGGGATGGGCCAGCGCGGGACCCCACGTGGCCCAGGAAGGAGGAGATGGGGCTGGAGCAGAGGGGAAGAGCCAAACCGAGCCCAAACCCGCTGCGGGTCCCACTGTCCTCACCGGAGCACCATGCAGTCCCTGCGCGGGTGCGGGGCCATGCTGTCCGTCACGTAGTGGTACACCTCCATGTCCTTGTCCAGCGCCTCCACCACCCTGCTCTGCAGCAGGTCCTCGTCCCACAGGTGACGCTCCCGCAGCACCCGGTGCAGCACCGTGGCGGGAGGGGCCTCAACGTCCGTGGAGACCTTCCACAGGCGCAGAGGGTGCCCATCCCCAACCTGAGGGCACGAGGTGAGGGTCACACAGACTGTCCCAAGGCAACCCCCAGTGCTAACCCCTGAGCAGCTTCGCTGATGGCTCCCACAGCCACAGAGCAGCACAGTCCCATCTGCTGGCTAGCAAGGGATGGGGTGGGACCTGCTCTGGCTACTGGAGACATCAACCCATGCACATTTCCCTGTTCTCAAGCCACTCCACCCAGTGGCATTTACCTTTTTGCAGGACAGCTCTGTGTTCAGAGGCCCTGGCGTGCTCAGCCACCCCTTGAATTTCTCTGATGACTCTTTGAGCAGGTTCTGGACACTCTGCTCAAAGTAGGAGTGTAAATCCTTGCTCTCCCCCTGGCACACCAAGTCAGCCAGGGGGTGCGGATAAGCGTCTGCGGCCATATAGGAGCTGCTCAGCTGCAGCAAGATTTCGTGGGAGACCTGCAAGCCAAAAGCACACAGATGTCCAGTAAGGCAGAGAGATCCTGTGGGGACTTTGTGAGTGGTCCTGGAGAGACAGACAACTGTAACTCATTCCCCATGGAGTGGGGAGGATGGACATACAGCCTGCACCACCTCCTGCCCCAGGACATAGCTGGGCTTGGCTCCAGGGTGAATGGCTGGTGACTGCTGTCCCACTGAGGGAAGGGTGCCCTCAGCCCGCCCCAGGACCAGCACCTGCTGGCAAGGTCACACCTCCCATGGGCAGTGCTGGGCTGGGACACCACTGCCACCCACCTGGAAAAGCTTCTTGCAGTCAGTGATCATGTGGGAGAGCCCCTGCGTTGCGGCCATGTTCTCATTGAGGTCCTTCTGGTCCGGCTTCCCCATGGTGCCCCTCTTGTGCATGGCCCTGTGGGGGATCAGGTGGGCACCTCTAGACCCCCATGACTCTCATTTGTGTCACAGAGCGGAGCCAACAGCCCCCCATGTCTCTCCATTCCCTGCTGGCCCCCTCCCACAGCTGGCAGGGAAAGAGCACCGGGTACTTGGGGCTCAGCCAGCCCTCACCTGGGCGATGTGCTTTCCTTCTTGGACACGTTGAGGTGGAAGATGGAGGGGGCCAGGCACACAGCCAGGTTCCCAGCTGTCATCTGGTTCTCCTCAGCCGAGGCGATGTCGCTCAGGAAGTAGAGCAGGGTCTGCAGCACCTCCCGGTTCTCGTCCGGCATGAGGATGATGGCAGCCTGCACCGCCTGCAGCCGCTGCTCCTTGGACACGACTGCGGGCACGGGCAGCGTCAGCAGGGCGTCCCCACAGCCACCGCCCACCCCCTCCATCCAAACAGAGGGACCACTCCTCCCCAAGAGCCCGAGCTGCCCCAGCCCGGCCCTTACACTGGTAGATCTGCAGGAAGGTGTCGGTCAGCTTGCTGGTGAAGATGGGCTCGGGCAGGTCACGGAAGTACTGCTTCAGCAGGTCGGCCACGTCGTACGCTGACTGCCCCGAGTAGTTGACGTTGTCGGGGCTGGTCTCGTTCATGTGCCGGAGCACCTGGATCCGGGACTTCACCCCGGACTTGCGGAAAATGCCAACCTGCCGGGGCAGAGCAGGGGGTGAGCGGGCACCGGCCTGGGTGGGCACAGGCCTGGGTGGGCACCTGTGGGACAGGCAAAGACACTCCCTCCCCACAGGGATCATCTCTGAACCCACAGGAGACACAGTGAGGGATGGCCAAGGGGATGCTGCTGGGCCCCCACAGAAAATCCCATCCTCCCACTTCAGCACAGGCCACAAGAGGTGAACAACAGGACCCTTAAAGCTTTTTCTTTCCCCAAATCCCAGTGGTGCTGCCCAGCAGCCGCGGCCTCACCTGGTCCAGGCACTGGCTGCGCAAGTAGCGCATGGCCTGCTGGATGCTCTGGGGCAGGGGCTGCCCCGTCCGCTGCACGTTGACAATGGGTGGCACCCCAAAAACCATCTTGTCCCTGTAGTCAGGGACTTTACTCCTCTTCATGAACTTGGGGACAGTCCTGCAGAGTGGGACAGAGAGATGTCAGTGCAATGATCAGTGCCCTCAGCACCCCGTCACACAGACAGCAGTGTGGAACTGCTGGAACACACAGACACACACACATTTCTGCAGTATTTGGAATACAAGCAAGGCAGCTTCCCAGCAGGAATGGCAGCACCTTTTATTAAGCTAAAATATTTTGATACTTGGCTATGAAAAGTCCCACTCTCTAATGTTGCTGCAGCACTTTCAATGCCCCACACACACCTGCAGCTCCCACAGTGGGAGACGATGCCAGGAGCCTGGGGCTCAGCTCTGGCTCACACTTGCCAGAGCAGACAGCCCTTGGTTTAGCTTTTCCCCCTCCACACCCCGAAGCTGCCCCAGGCTGGGGGCACAGAACGAGCTGCAGCCTGTGGGCTCCATCCTGGCCCCCCTTGCCCCAGCTCACCACGTCCAGGCCTGCTTGTGGGGCACAGAGTATTTCTCCATGATGGCTGTGAGCCGGAGCAGGGAGCACTTCTGGAGCAGGTTGAGCTGTGCCGATGACTGGCGGTTGATCTCCAGCGAGGCTGAGTTCAGGCTGGGCCGGTGGGAGTTCTGGAAGCTGTGCCAACGCAGCTTTCTGGGGACACACGGGACATTCCCAGCTAAGCAAACCCTCTCTGCTCTTCACTCTTTCATGGTTAGTGACACATCACCCTCTGGCACCAGCAGAACTGGCTGAGAAAAGCCACAGAACTCGGCAACAGCCGTAGCTGTCCTGGGGAGAGCCCCAGGGAATACTGGCACAGGGGAGGCACGTGCCCCTTGCGTTTACGCTTGCCATCAATGAAAACCCCTTTAATCACGGGTCTGTGCAGGCAGGCAGGGCTGGCAGCAGCGGCAGTGCTGGCAGTGGTGTCCTGCGGCCACCAGAGCGCACCAGCGGCCCGCGCTGCGCTCCGCTCCCGCACCGTGCGGCTCCAGCAGCGCTGCC